CTACTTTGTCTTTAGCTGGGTAGTTGGCCAGTCTCTTCACTTATTTCTAATTGTAACTGAACAGGAGCTCATGTTTTGAAGATTAATGTTCATTACATGTAATAGTAATTGATAGTAATATAATTAAATCGACTCTAAAAAGTACTTACACTTATACTTAAGTACATATCCAAGTATTTGTACTTATACTTAAGTACTTTTGTCAAAAGCGATCACGTACTTGTACTTATACTTAAGTATTTTGTAAATGTACTTGGATTTTACTTAAGTACTTTTCAAAGTACTTTGCCCCAACCCTGGTTCAGAAATGGTTGGAAAATGTCCAATGCTTATTTCAGACTCTGAAATAATTAATTATGATTCACACAGTGAAGTTTGAAAAATCACAATTTAGTAATGGTTATTCAATGCAAAACAAATTAATTGTTGTATTTTGTTGTTTTCCCTGTACTCAATAATAGATATACATTGTGTACAGGCAGGTTTTGGGTCAAGTACTTGGGACTTAAAGTTCAAGCAAGCTTAAGCACACTGAAATACCACGATATACGGCATATATTTCGCAGGTATAAAATTTCTCGATTTGACTGCATTTTTCTATTTGCGAATAAAAAATTTCGCGATTTTAATGTAATTACCACACCTACTATACAATCAGCACGCTATTTTGCGAATTTTAATTTCACGAATTTTTCCAACATGCGAAAATCACAAAATTTAATCCCCGCGAAATATATCATAGTGCCATATACGGTACAATGTAATTCTCGACTCTACACAGCCATGCCAATAGTAAAATGGTACTGTTCTCACCTAGCATTATCCTTTCCCTCTTCAGTTACGGCTACCACAAATCCAGAGCTCTGAGGATAGTCAGGTGAAATTACTTCAACTTCAAAATTGAACATGAAATTTGAATGTGGAATATAAACATTTTTCTTAAAAAGTCCAAAATTGTGGTCTTCCACATTATCATAATAACCTAAAACAGACCATGAATAAGTTTTATTCCAGTATCTTATTACCATTTCTGTGATGAGAAGAACAATTTGGCGTCCACGTGTCAAGAGCACCCGCTACTAAGCAATGACCATATCAACCATTAGAAGTGTGGTAATCATACTTACCCTTCTCAGTAGGTGTCCTAGGTAAAGTGTCTGGTTCTTCGTTCATCAGATAAAACTTAGAAGACGAAATGGATAAGACTGAGCTCTGCAGCTTTCAGACTTCACTGTAGTCAAAACGGCCAAGTGTTTCAATAATATACGGGCCTGTCCGAAATTGATCACGTGAGTTCACACGTGCCTCAAGGACGATCGCTAGCGAAATTATAGCGTGGAAAGTTCAAGTAGCTCAGCTATACAATTAAGAGTGAGAGCATAGATTCAAGAACATATTCAATCCCAAACAATACGATTACCTCTGTAAGTTTTATCTTAATAAGTAGGTGGCTTACTTGATCTGTCTGTGACTCTGTATAGACTAATTTTTAATGATTTAATTGCATGTTGTGCATGAGCTATAAAAGTTGCCAGGGCAGGTCCTATATCAGTGTAGTTAAACTAGAGTATTGTAGTTCAATAGGTTTGTTATAAGTGACATTCAAGTTCATTACTGTAGTGGGGTTAATAAGCACAGTTCAAAGATTAAAAAAATTGCCACATTTACAACCATTGCATAATGAAAGTATGCATCCTATCTGTTCGTTGAAATTATTTTCCCGAATTTACAACTCCTTTAAATAAGATCATAGTTATCTTAAGATTTGAAGTTTTGTGTCTTTGCACATAGAACATGTGCAATTCAGTGATCAGTAGAAATATTTTAAATCATTTGTCTTAATTTTAAATGGTCTAAGCTATTTATATAATATAGGTATCATATCATCATCATAATTATCATAATCATATCATCCCAAGAGTGACAGCATATGGCAAGCTCAAGTGATACAATAGAGAAGTCCACTACTTCCCGTATTCCATGTACATATTGCCCGAAAACTTTTGCTTTTCGGAGTGGACTGTCAAGACACATCAAGACAGATCACCATGAAGAGCATGAAAGCAGCTACAACAACTGCTGCCACATATGCAATGCCAAGTAAGTGCCAGTTTTGGTTAATTTGCATGTTTCAATTGCTGACACTAGATACGCTTCAATATCAGTCCTAACAACGCATCTTAAAGAGCAACATGCCATGACAATACCAATCGAAACTCACAGTTTTAGCAGTGTAGATGAATTTGAGCAGTGGAAGTCAGAAGAAGAGAAGAAGTGCAAGTCACATTATGTGCAGCACACATCTAGCCAATTTCATCAGTCAAGGAAGTGTTGGAAGTTGTATTGCAACAGATCAGGAAAATATCAACCAAGGGGTGATGGTAAACGCGTATTGAAAAGCCAGGGTTTTAGTAAAATTGGAAATGTTTGCATAGCAAACATGAAAGTGACACAGGACACTATATCAGGGAATGTTACAGTGGAGTATTACCCTGTTCACAATAGCCATTCTATAGATATTGCACACTTACCTATTCCAGAAAGCGTAAAGCTCAACATAGCAGCTAAATTACAGCAAGGTGTACCAATTGACAGAATTTTAGATGATATGAGGGATAGAATGTCAAACGATGGAGCTAGTGGACCTGAGCTGTTACTTTCCAAGCAAGACATTCATAATTTAAAACGCTTACTAAATTTGCAAGGTATAATGAAGCACAGTAATGATTATGAAAGCACATGTGCTTGGGTAGAGGAATTAAAAGCAAAGCATTACAATCCTGTCATTGTGTTTAAGCCTCAAGGAAAAGAGCAGACAGGTAGTGTAAATGACTTAGCAAAAGATGACTTCCTTCTGGCTATACAAACAGAATTCCAAAAAGATGCTTTGCAGCAATATGGTAATAATGTAATAATGATGGATGCAACTCATGGTACAACTCAGTACAATTTTCTTCTCATATCAATTTTAGTCATCGATGACCATGGCACTGGTCTGCCTGTTGCTTGGGCTGTTAGTAACCGTGAAGACAGCATGTTGCTAATGCAATTTTTGATTGTTGTAAATGAAAGAGTTGGTAGTCTTACACCGAAATATTTTATGTCAGACTGTGCTGAACAATATTTCACAGCATGGTGTGGTACATTTGGACATAATAACACTCAAAAACTGGTGTGTATCTGGCATGTTGATCGTGCATGGCGAAAATCACTACAAACACATGTGAACAGTCAGCAAAATAGGGTAGAGATATATCACCATTTGTGTGTCTTGCTTCGTGAAACAGACCAAAGTAATTTTATACTAAAGCTGCAGCAGCTAATGTCTTATTTACACGAAAACCACCATGAATTTTTTGAATATTTTAATACGTACTATGTGCCACACAAAGAGGAGTGGGCTACATGCTTTCGAATTGGCACCATTGTAAATACCAACATGTTTGCAGAGTCGTTTCACAGGTTACTTAAAGTAGTGTACCTGGAGGGAAAACAAAACCGACGCGTTGATTGTTTATTGTTCACTTTGCTCAGACTTTCACGCAATTTGGTTTTTGACCAAATTCAGAAGACAGAAAAAGGGAAAATGACTCATAGAAAATCTGAAATTAATAAGCGACATGCATCTGCTGAAGAGAGTCTGAATAAGGCTTTGTACACTACCATATCAGAAGAAAATTCCTCTTGGGAAATACAATCTTTTACTTCAGCTGGTAAATTTTACTATATTCAAAAACTCTTGTCAAATTGCCAATGTCCACTTCATTGTTCGAAGTGTAATGCATGCATCCATATGTATGTGTGCACATGTCTAGATGCCAGCATACATTACACAGTCTGCAAGCACATCCACATCATTCACATGAAAGAAAGTGATGAGTCGAAATCAATGAGCAATACGGAGAGGAGCACTGAAGCCACTGTACCATTTGACAGACAATACTTTTCAAAGGCACACCAAGGGATTAATACAGTTGGTAGCACTAGTGATGCTGAAAAGGTAAAAAAAGAAATTACTAGCTTTATGCATGAAACCGAATCATTACTGAGTGCATGTGATGATATCGGCACAATGGAAGCAGTGAAACAACACATGAAATCTGCAATTGCAGTTCTTAAGGCAAGTAAACATACAGAATCAAGCAGCAGTATGAAACCAATGATTTCTGTCCCCCCCAATGTATTACATCAAAAACAGCA